AGATTCCTCACATATCCCTAATTTGACATTTATAGAAATTTTAGCTCCTGAACTACTAAAGTACTGTACTGCACCCAAACTATGGAAAGGGATTCCTCACTTTACCCCCACTCTCTTGGCTTTGGAAAGGGTAAAAAGAGGCATCTGTTCAGATTTTTTAAAATAATGTTAATGCTGTTTTTATTGTTTTACTGTTTCAGGGAACAATTCTAAATTCCATAGCTGGCTGGGGCATGGTAGGAGTTTGTATGACTTTGTTTTTGCTAAACAAACATAGGATTGTGTCCTTATTCTGTTACACTGTTGCCACTCCCTTAATAGGTTTTTCAGCAGAAAAGGTGGCATATGCTAATAATAATAAATACAATCAGACTATAAAAGAATGGTCAGTCCATGGTCAAAGTATCATATTACCAGCCAAGAGGAGTTCAACAGCTGCCAATTCCCCAATATCAAAAAGATCACTCAGAATAAATGCCTCTCTGATGAGCTGCTCTGGTAACAGTCTAGTTCCTTGCTGGCCCTGGATAGCAACTCCTTCTGTATTTGCTTTCTGAACCTTCTCATGCTGTTGGGCATTTTTTGGCTACAAGAAAACAAATTAAAATGATAAAAATCATCATAGAGAAATGAAATGTTTGTATTAAAATTAACTTAACTTTATACATGGTCTTATTATGTACTAGAAGCTTTTCATTCACTTGACTCACTTGAAAGCATTTGGTGAGGTAAATTATAAGTTATTTAAGTATAAGTTTTTTCAGAAGTATAAACAAGGGCCCCAAGGAGAAATCTCTATCCTTTAATGTATCCCTTAAATAATATAAAATGTTACTTTGTCAATATGGTTAAATTCAGAGTCCTTCCTTCTTATTAGGTAGCCAAAGTATTTAAGCTTCAGTTTCAGTATCTAAAAGAACAGTCAGGGTTGGTTTCCTTTAGGATTGACTGATTTGATCTCTTTGCAGTCCAATTCTTCTCCAACACAATTCAGAAGTGCCAATTCTTTGGCGCTCAGCCTTCCTTATGGTCCAACTTTCACAGCCATACATTACAACTAGGAAAACCAGAGCTTTCACTATAATCATTAGAATTACAAACTAGTAAATAAAGAATGACTCAGATACTTACATGCAAAAGACTATTAAACAGTTATTTGCTACAACGTTATTACACACAATTTGAAAAAATCTCATTATGAACTCATTGTGTTGCATAAATGCACCTGATGCATTTATCATAAAATACCAATTCTAATTTTTCACATTCCCCAGTAAAGAGATGTTTACTTTACCGGATTCCTGAACAGGGATATGAAGTCAGGTTTATGTTTCTTTAAAATCTGGTCAAGAAGATGTATTGCTTCAGGTTGCCTTTTCCAAACAGCGTTAACTACTGCCTGCCAAATGTCTTTGTAGGGTCCCCACAAACTGGCAGCTAAAAATGAATATGAACAATATGAGCTATGTCAGAAAATTAGTCCACCACACATCATTTAAAAGAAAAGATTTAATTGAAACATGAAGAATCTGTGGCACAAACAACACAACCTGCTGCCACATGGATTGCAACATAACCTTTATAACAGCAGTTCTAATTGTTGGTAATTGCTGCATTCATAGTGTCACAGCTTCAATGGAATCCATATCTGCCTTGTGTTTTTCCTACAATGCACAGTAGTCCAACTGCAAAAAACCAGTATGAGCTAGTTGGGAGAAGAAAGCTCACATGTGTATACCGTGCCCATGTCCCAATGGTACACCTCACCCGATTTATGAACACATATCCACCATCTCTTTACTAGCATTATCATAGCAGAACAAATTAAAGGAAAGGCAGAAAGCTGCTTATACAAGAGGCAATAGAACCTCAATTTACTCGGCACTGGGCCAATTCATGCAAACAAAATAAACCTCCAAGACTTATTTAAATTGTGGCACAGGCAGAAAACAGTCCATAATCACTGCCCAGATACTATTTTTGCTATGTTGTCCAAACCAAGGTAGCCTGGCTAACTCTCCAATAACCCTCCAACAGTCTGTATGTTGTTAAAGATTTGTTCCCTCTTCAACAAGCCATACTACCTGAGCTTGGATGACAAGACAAGTCACACCCATGCACGCAGTTAGGCAAATAATGCCCTCCATATACCATGCTTATTTGTTTATTAGATTTATATCCCATCCCATTAGCCAAAATGGCTCTCTGGGTTACAGGATATAATAATAATATATATATAATTAAATGATATTTTATTAACAAATATTACAACACTAACATCACAACAATCAAACATCAAAAACCCTACAGTAAAAATTCACAATAACCTCAACTCTTATCAATAAAGACACAGTGAAAAACACACTAGCACTACATTTTCATAAATACCATAAAATACCACGAAACTTTAAAATTATTTTAACCATTCAAGTATCAGGTAAATAAAAAGGTCTTTATCTGGTAACAAAAAGAATACAGAGAAGGCACCAGGTGAAACTCTTTGGAGAGATGATTCAAGAGTCAGGGTGCCACTGCCGGCCCTTTTCCTTCTAGCCACCCTCCTTATTTCCTTTGGAGAGGGCTCCCTGAGAAGGACCTCCAATGATGATTTAAGGGGCACATATTTTAGAAGTGTGGGGTACTATTCGCCTAATTATCTGCCTTAAATAAATTTAACTTGCCTGTCTTAATGGATTGTTTGAACTAAATCAACATGCTTCCTAAGCAAAAAGAAATTATGCACAACACAAAACCTGTATAGCACTATCCCACGTAAAGATTCCAGGCATGAGTATTTCACTGTTATCTACACAGCAGTTTACTCGATTTCTTAAGCAAAAGTGTTTCCTAGAAGGAGAATATACAGCATGTGAACCCACCTCTACAACTTTATGTAGGAACTTATATCAAAAAGTGATGACTTTCTCTAACAGTTATACATGGCATTCTAACTTCCATCAAGCTATACCTTATTTAACAAAATTACTAATGCAAACATATGTTTATACAGCATGCCAAATATTTAAATCCCAAGAAAAACTTCAAAGGACCTTTTAAGCAAAGGTTTAAAAACTAAAAGTTTCATACAGCATCTTCATTATCTTTTGAATCTTTTTACAGTGCAACAAAATGAAACGGAGCAGACTCCCAAGCACAAAGCTCTAAGAACTCTGGGTGATCCAAGGGCAGATTGCAGAAAAAAAGTTGGTGATTCATTGGGCAATGGGGAAAATATAGCAAATCGAGAAACCAGACAGAGCCAGAAGCCAACATCATCAGGCAACTGGTCAAGGTTCCACCACTTACAGGAGTCCTGCTAAGAAACTCCAAAGCTTCCTAGCCCTGCTGCTCCTCCACTTCTTGATCACCTACCCTCTCTAAAGCAAGCAAATACAAGAATAAGGAGATGCACCATCACCATCCATTTGCCTTGGGCCTCTCTCCAGGCTGTTCTGTGAGTAGGGTCCAGAGAAAGAAATAAAATGTGCAGTGGTAACTGCAGCAAACAAATACATACGTTTAAATTATTTTGCAAAAGACTCCTCAAAACCACCCTACTGGTAGTGTGTGCACAAGAACACACACTGGTGTTTGTGGCCATAATACACAATAAAGGTGCTTACAGTGTGGAGAATATCTATTGGATAAACAATCAAATCCACATCACAAATGATCAAGAACAAAGTAAGGAGTGAAAACAATTCCAGACGATTTTAAAGTTCGAAGTTTATTCCAAGTTACGTCTATGCACCGCAGCAAGTACAGTTGTATTGGTGACACTAACTGCATACTATGGAATGCTTTGTTTCGTTATAGGTTTTTTTTTAATGGATGCACAGAGGTGGCTGCAATCCTGAAAGTAAGCCCTATTGAACTCAATGGAAGTTACTGCTGCGCAGACGTATATAAAAAAAGGTAAAACACTTTTGCAAAGACTCGTTCTGGGAGGCGAAAGCAAAGCACCGCTTTCTCTCTTGCAGTAAAAGCAGGTGAGAGCCGGCGCGTCGCCAGAAATCCCTTACTCTTATCGAGAGGAGAGCACCAACTAAAACCAGCACAGCCACCTCCTTCATAACTCCCGGATCGCACGCGGGTCTCCCCATACCTGAAATTACCGCCAACGGCGCAGACATCTTGAAAACTCCCTCACGCGACGCAAAGCGCCCTTAGCACAGAGAGGCCCGGAAACACACGGGAAAGCCGAATGTGATGCCGGGGAAGATTTTTTTTTTTTCCAGACAGATCGGCTGCTTAATGCAAAGAGCAGATAGCCTCTCATTTTTTTCGGAGTCACGTTTTAGTAGCTCACCCCTCTACAAATTAAAAACGCAACTTTGTGATCGTTTAAGCAAACCAGAAGTCCTACAATTCCCAGCATTCCTCGCCCGAAAAAGCTGCTTAGGGGTTGCTGGGAGTTGCAGGACTTTGCTCTGCCCACACGGGAATCGACTGGCGCGCCGCAGCGAAATACTTCAGAAAGTTAGCGCTCAGGCATAGCTGGGCTACCTAATCTCTAACTTCAGGGCCCAGAAGGAAAAGAATGCTGCGATTTGTTGTTCCAGACCGTTCCGTGGGAGGAAGGCGGGAAAATTGAATGACGTTCCAGTCCCAAATTGCTTACTAGACAGTAAACATCTTTGAACACGGAGTGCTGAGGTTTCCTTTTGAGGAAACATGGTTGGTGTTGACCTGTCCAGGACTGTTAGTTTCAGGATGTTTTGTTCACGCACAGGTGAAATAGGGCCCGCCAAATGACACGCACGTAATACAGCAACCGCTTCCTCAGGTTTCCGTATTTGTGGGTTCGGAAACCCCTGAAATTACTGCGGGCATTTTAAGCGGAGTGCTTCTTTCTAATGTGGGTGAGCCGCTTGCAAGTGTTGTAAATGTACAGAAAACTAAAGAGGTCCGTTTCAAACTCAACGAACTGGGGGGAGGTGGGGAACCACTTTTACAACTTCCACTTTTACAGGAGTAGAGGAATTTAACATGAAGTGGGTGGTATGAACAACATGAAAATGTAAAATCCCGCACTAAAGATGAAATTTGAGAAACCTCCTCCTCCTCCCCCCACCCACGGCTAGACAGACGATACCTAACATTGCGGGCCGTTTAGTGCCACGAATACTTGCAGTGCTTAAGAACAGTTCCAAACCTCTAGGCGATGACTCCCATAATGCATCTCGTCCTCTTAGTTTCCTGCTTCCGCTTCTGACCGGGTGAAGCTCTGGTGCGCATGCGTGGTGGGACTAACTACTTAAAGCTAATAGTTTCGCGTAGACGGGATCGCGTGGAGCGGAGCACGTGGGGAGCGGTTATTCATCTCTCGTATAAGGTCGTGCTTGCAAAACAAACAAAAAAAGCGGGAAGATAACGGTGAGATCTTGTTGCAGTGGAACAGGGAGAACGAGGTGAGTGAGTCGGAGGCCGGCTGGCAATGAGGGAACAGAGGCTTCGCTGGGAACCTGCAACCATTCACACTTCGCCTGTTTCTGCCTTTCGACGACTGGTGCAAATCCTTCAGGCTGATTCGCTTTGGTAGAAGCGGAAAGGGTTTCTGAGGGGCCGCTGGGGTTTGACTCCTTGCGCTTGGGATCAGCTGGGTGGAGAGGGGCTCTGAGTTATCTTCCCCACCCTCAGCTGAAACTTCGGACTAGCTGTGCTGCTTCTCTCAAGGCTTCTGTACAATGGGCTTGTGGAGAGTTGGAGTGCAGGGAGAGATTCAGAGTTTAATTTATTTTTTATTCTGGATAATGTTACTGTGCAAATTAGATCAATTGATAAAATTGACATGCATACGAAATTTGCAAAATCTGTTTGCATGGGGAATATTTTTATGCTCTCAAGCAACTTTCCCCAACCTGGTGCCCTTCAGATGTTAGACCGCAACTCCCAGCGTTCCTGATCATTGGTCATTCTGACTGAGGCTTCAGGTAGCGCAAAATTTGACTAGCGAGTGATTTATCTAGCATGTACTGAAAACTGACAAACTAATAAATTTTAGTAACATAACTCAGCATGATATACTGAGATAGCTAACCTTGGAACTGCCACAATTTAACTGTGCATAATATTCTGAGATAACTACAATGTTGGAACTGCCACACTTGAATAATATTGTATTAGCAGCTGATGCACATTTGTTGTTAGTAATAAACTTATGAAATGGAAAATTTTCCACCCAGAGTACTAGAAATTGTCTGCTGTTCCATATCAATTCTCCATTCCCATAGTCTGGACCCTTCACCCATGCCAGTTTGGATCTGGTCCAGAAAATTCCTGTCCATTGGACCAACACACTTCCAGCTGGGGCAAAAGGGGAGGGAGTATGTCCACCAACCCTGGCTTTGCACCCTGATTGCAGGTGGGCAATAGGCTGCAATCAGTAGGCTGGTAGATCTGCCTCATTGCTTCTCTCAGGCTCCATTTAGGATTGCTCTGCCTGGAATTTCTCTTTCTCTTGTTGCCAGTTTTCCTACAACCAGAATACCAGAAGAAAGTTGTTTCACTGACTTTGCTCATTTTCCTCCCTGGAGCATTCCTTTTCCTGGCCACAATGTTTGTGTTAGTGGAGATGACAGATACGGTGCGAATTCCTCCATGGCAGTTTGAATGGAAACTTAATGATGCCATCACTGAAGAATTAAATAAGAAGTTAGCCAATAAGGTAAATCTTGTGTGCTTTGCTTGACTAGCTTGTTATAATGTGAATCTTGTTATAATGTGTTTTCACAGCTCAAAATGGAAAACACTTGGAGCTTTAGACAAGACTAACTTGCAGTACAAGTTTATTCATCTAAATAGGACTTTACTCCCAGATAAATGCATATAGCAGGTTTTGTAACTGAAAATGGTATCTCTGGTAAGTTAGTGCAACAGTGTTTTGCCAGTAATCCCATGCTAGCTTTCTACTTGTGTATTTCATAAGCTGTTTCAGTGACAGTTTGCCCAGCCCTGAAATGGCTACTAGATCTTTATCAGTCAATATATCAGTCAAGTTCAGTATTTGTTTATTGACTGTTTTGATGAAGTGCATTGTAGCATGAAACTGAAAAATGAACAAATAGGATGCAGAAAATATGGGAAATCATAAGTAGACTAGCTGTTCAGGAACACACACTCTAATTTTCTATTTAAAATAAGCTCTGCCAGCTTTCTTTACAGCTTTCAAAGCTCAGATCAACATGTATGAATGGCTTTTTCCTAATACTAGGGGTCAGTTCACCAGTTTGGTCCATTTGCTTAGTTTTCTTTCTGCAGGAAGGTTCAACCAGTTCTTTCTAGTTGTGGGATTTATTGCTTTCTGGACTTCTCCCCCCACAAACAGGTTGTGTATAATGTTGGCCTCTGCATCTGCCTGTATGACATCACAAAACTGGAAGATTCCTACATATTCCCAGGAGATGGTGCATCACACACCAAAGGTTTGCCAGCTGTTTTTCTTAGAGTGAACGCTTTGGAGCGATGAGAAAAGTGACAGCTACACAACTGAGTACCCTCTTGGGTAACATAAAAAATTGGTGACACTATAACAGTTTTGAATATTCAGTAGTCGTCCATGATGAATTAATGTTCTGATGCAAATACATCTGGAAAATACTTGTTCTGTGGGACAAAAACTTGAAGGAGACCTTATCACTCTACTTCTTCCTTGGTGCTCAAATATTTTCTCTTAGGACAGAATTAAGGTGACATTTCCTGCATGCTGCAATGTGGAATCATGTTCTTATTGAATGTTCCATGTGCTTCTGTATTATGAAAATTAGGGATGTGTCATGTTCTGTGGAATGATGGTTTTCACTCATTAGCATGCTGGCGAAATATCTACATTATTAAATTTGTAATACATACAACAAAGTTAAAAGAGGTAACTTTTCAAAGTCAGCTGCTGACATTCCTGAAAAATTGTGAGCAAATGATTGTGTGAGTGTTCAGCTTACAAATGGAAGCTATGGCTTCCCATGATTGCTTGGTGTTTCTAATTAGATGTTTATCATGCCCTTCAGCCAAAAAGAGGCTCCCAAGGCATTTACAAAGAGTATTAATAAGACAGTACTTACTCTGAGGCTTCCAATATAAAAGACAAAAAGAAAAGATATATAGAGGAAGAGGCAAAACAGTTTCTTATAGAGCATTCTTTCTGGCAGGGAAAGCCAAACTAATTTCCCTGCAGCTGTTCATTCTCTAACTGATGTATGGCAACAGGTTGGTCTCTCCCGTGGTATGGTGTTTATCTTGGGATGTTGGGAGTGCAGCATCCAAGTTGTTTTTTGTTCTCTGGCCAATGGATGAGGTCAGAGTCTGCAGTCCCAGGAAACTTAATTTTAATACTGACAGGACTATTAATTTGATATAGAATAGTATTGAAGTTGCATTCCCATGAAGTTGAGGGAGAACTCATCCAGCAAATAGTGATTCTTACATTCTTGTCTTAGAAAGGAACCACTTAAAATTGAGTTATATATAAAATTCTACCCTGGAAATGCAGTTATCTCTACTCAAAAGGATATTACTTGCAATATATCTACTAAACTTGATAATTTAATTAGCTTGTATAAGTGTTATCCATCCCCTTGATTGTTCTGCTGTCTTGATAATTATCTGCTACTTCTGAAAAATGAAAACTACCAATAGAAGACTTATGCAAGTGTGTGTGACCTTGATTTATTACGTAATACACATATCTTTGACACACACAATCTTTGACAAGTGAAATCCCTAAGGAGATCACTTGGGAGCAGACAAGACCTTCCTAATCATCAGTTTCTTACTACTGCAGTTCACCCAGTACTGTCCTATCTGCTGTACTTAGAGATCATACCAAGTATATTTTCAGTCTTACCAGACTTGCAGAATCCCAAAAAGCTGACACAGCTGCCCAGAAACTAGATTCCCATGTTCTGCACTTCATTAGTTAAATGAGAGTGAAACATAGATGAAAATCTTAGGATTCCATGAGAATTTGAAAGGTTGGGTGGGGATGCAATCAATGCTATTCTGTGTGGTCATGATAATATGTAATTCTAGGTCCACTAAGTATAGGTATCTGCGCTCATCTGTCCAACTCTAACTCATTCAACATGGGGATGACACACCAGGATGACGTGTTTCTTACTTCTTTTCAGTGCATTTCCGTTATGTTGTATTTCATCCCTTTCTGGATGAAATTCTGGTTGGTGAGATAAAAGGCTGCAGTCTGGAAGGAGTTCGTGGTAGGTTTAAATTTTGTTAGTAAAAAGGCAGAACCTATACAAGAGTAATTATTGACACCTGGCATCTATGCCTCCATCTAGTAGTAAATTACAGAAAACACATGGCACTGTGCCATTTTACAATGTGTGTAACTATCGCATGTTGTGGCAGGTAGTCAAGCCTATGTTCTGAAGACAGACAATTTTGTTCATGACGTTTGGAATCATAAGTGATACAATTTTTTGTTAATATATGCTGCCTATCATTGTTCTGGCTATGAAATTTTTTATTCCATGGCTGTAGAATTTATTTATTGCCATTCTGTGTCATTGTAGTTGAGTTAAATGTTTCTGGAATGACTGCTTTTAGTTAGTTTTAGTCTAATTAGAGGGTATTTTCTTCTCCGTTGTCTCAGAATTTTACTTTCTAGCTGAAACCTCACAAATCAAGCTAAGTAGACTATAGAAACAATTCATATCGGGAGTGGGAACGCCTTCCCCAGTATAAATAAAAACAATGATGCTTAATATTCTTTTCCCAGCTACCTTTAAAACCAGAGAACATGTTGTTACCCTGCTAATATTAGATCCAGTTTTGGGGCCAGATGAAAAGTATTTTCATATTTGTTATAAGATTGTACCTTAACTGGATTATATATGTATCTAGTCCTACAGTTCCCAGAATGCCTGGAGGTTGCTCTTGGCTCCCACAGAGACCTGCTGCAACCATAAGGCTCTGCAGTACCCAGCTGCACCCCATTTGGCCACTTCTGCTTCATTCTCATAAGTCATATGCTAGTCAATCCTTCCTATTCTTCCTAACCAAACTCACTGGACCAAATTCATTGTTCAATATCAGGCAATCCTGTGCCTTGGATCCATGTTTGTGTGTCATGATGGTGATGGCAAGAGTTAGATCTGTTTTTAGTGTGCAGTCCAAGTGTACAAGTTTAAGCTTTAATTTGGCAGGTTTTGTAGAGATCCCATATAAAATCACGTAAATGTATAACTGTAATTTACTAGATTCAGTTTTTACTTTTAATCAATCCACTATAGTAGCAAAATTAGAGAAATAGTGGGTCGGATGCGACTTTGCAGCTAACAACAACAAAATAGCTGGGGACTTAATTAGATTTATTAGACTAAAGTGTTATTCTTATAGTGCCATTAGCTGATTAATTATATTCCCATTCTAAATATATTTAACACTATGTGGTAGAGGATAATAATACTGGATATCTGTTCCAGTGCTGGTGGCCTAGAGAAAGCTTAAATTGCCTAGTTTCCAAATGGCATTTATATTAATCTAAATGTTTTCTCCATAGTTTCTCTTGGGTTCTTTGATGACATTATCATCCCTCCAGAATCACTACAGCAACCTGCTAAGTTGTATCCTTTAATGTAATACAATGAATCTGTCCTATGTCTACTTTCTACAAATCTGTGAGTTTGTTGGAAAATGTTATGTAAATTACCTGTTCTTTAACCTGGAACATCAGCTACAATTTGTTGACTTGGGAAATATCTTTAGAATGTTTGAAACAAGTCTGATATGGCTGAGGGCAGTGGTGAAGGGGAAAGTGCCTAGAGATAAATCAACCAAAAGCTAGAAAGCAGCATCCTTAGGAAGAGTGAATCATCTATTTTGCTCCAATCCTCAGTTCTTCATTGTGTCTCCAGAAGGAATCTCTATGAGCAGCTTCTGTACTGAGTTGAAATTTCTTCTTTTACAACATAATAAGAGGCTTTTATAAGTAGAACAAGCATGATGAGAAAAGGCTGCATGGGAATTAATGCTTAAAATAGGAAGATACTGGAGAAGGCTTTCATGTTGAGAATCTATGCTGTATTTTTTACTATTGCCTTAGCCACCTGCATGTACAGTGATGAAGCAGAACAAGTGTGGGTTTGGGAATATGAGACTGAAGAAGGAGCCCATGACTTGTATATGGACACAGGGGAGGAAATTCGTTTCCGTGTGGTGGATGAATCCTTCATTGACACATCCCCAACAGGTCCAAGCTCTGCAGAGCCTTCTACCTCTAGTGCGACGGAGGAGGTACAGAAGAAAGAGGCTCCTTACACTCTTGTGGTAATTATTCAACATTATTCCTTTATATGCAACCATTTGAAATGAGTGGTCTTTTCACTACCCAGAAGTGCAAGGAAAGGCTCAAGTAGAAAACCCAAATGCCTGTTTATAGCTTGTGTACCTTTATGTTAGAATGGAAGCTACAGGACCTGGAAGTCTGTAGATGAACACATTTCTCAGAACAGCTAAGCCTTAAAGTATGTGCATCTTCACATACTTGGTCTAGGGTTTTAAGTGAATAGAATAGTTAGTCAAAAACTGAGTCATCTTATAAACTCCATGGTATATGTGGTGACATGTTATTTTTTCAACTAGTTATACTTTTAAGGAAAAGGGACAGAGGATCTTTCTCAGTGATCTCAGAATGTAAATCTCTTATCTCACATGCTAAATTGATAATGTTCATTCTTACAATCCTCATCTGTATTTTTAACAGGGATCTATCAGTGAACCTGGCCTAGGTCTCCTATCCTGGTGGACAAACAGTTAGCTAAGAGAGATTCTTCTGAAAAATGGAGACTTTCCAAATTGAAAAAGCAAGCTGATGCCCTTTTTCTCTGCCTTGACCAGCAGCTGAAAAATAGAAGCTGTGTTTTCCCATTTCTGCTTAGCACTAGACTGCTCTAGATCTACAAAATGAGTGGGAGCAGTGTAATGTCATCAGCACAGATTAAATGAAGATCATAGTCCAAGCAGCATAACCTCAGGAAGTTCTAATGCTTCTACACACCATAACTAGGTTCACGCACCTAAGAAGAATCTCTTATTATGGGGGGAATTGGTGTAGACTTTGTGTTTTAAAACAGATGCAAAAAGTCATGTTGAAGGAGAACATTTGCTTGGAAGAAACTAGTATATTACTCTGTCAGATCCTGTTTCAAGAAGGCGGGGGGGGGGTGATGTTGCAGAATTCAGCACTCATTTAAATGGGTTTGTTTCATTTATGTGTCAGATGGAGGTGGTTCTAAGACCAGCATGGGAAATCAGTTGGCAAACTCAGCTCATTCACCTTCAAAGATGGCAAATTGTGATGAAGACTAGCAAAGCTAGAAAAAGTATATGATCTAGAAAGATCTACCTTATCTGTATAGCTTGTCAAACTTCTGGAAGGACCTAAGTGAGTTGGAAGCTACTTGATTAAGTCTTGGCAAGAAGAATGGGCAGAATAGAACAGCCTAAGTGTTGCATAACAGTCCAATATCTGCAGTTGATAAGTGGAATATTTAGAAATTAAACAAGCAACAAACCTTTGTTAGTTGCCCTCCTTGTGCAGCGATCACTGCTAAGCCCTAATGTTTGCGATCTAAGAAATGTGGTTGGTGTTTAATAATAAATATTGGAAAGATAGCTTCGGTTGAACAATGGATAAGCTAATTATAAATAGAAAGGAGTTTTCAACAAAAAAAATTCTGGACAAAATGTTTATTTAAGCATGAAACATTGTAAACAATTTTAACTACAAATTAAACTGCTTTAATACAAATTCCAAGATAAATAGCTTTAGTTGTCTCCTTATTGAACGTTGGAAGGGGGTAGTGGTTGTGAGTGTAATTTAAGATAGCCCCATAGTGTAATTTATACTGAATACTGCAAATCGGTTTCTGTGTGGTTTTACAACAAACCTGCAGTGTTTTCCAGAGGAATTGGTTAGAGGTAGGAATGACTCCCAAAGTAGCCTATACAGTTCTGATGCAGGTTTTGATTAAAGTAGTAAACAAAACCTCTAGTATAGTTTACACCTCTACTGCAGGTTGGAGGGCAGTGCTGAGAGCCACTCAAAACAGCATTGCAGTGTAGCTCATTAATACTGCAGGTCAGAGGTGAGGTTGCTTATATTGTCCCCAAGTTAAGCCAAATATTCATTTGCATATAGATGTCACCTCCTCCAATGTTTTTACTGGTTGCACTTTTGGATGTTAAATATTTCCTTTTTAAGCTTTGGGGCTTTGTTTTTTGTATATGAAGCAAGCCCGAGTTGGAAAGAGAATCGCTGCCCTTGGTGTTGATATTTTTCCCAACTCCTTTTTTCATTTAGAGGCTTAGATAACATGCACATTGAATAGCTTTTAATCTGTATTTAACTATGCCAGAAATCTACCCCCTTCCAAAATAAACACAACCTTTACATCATGTGGAAATAATTATTTGTCTGGCATTATTGTTAGTGCAATTTCCAAGCAACCTGGCATTTTAAACAGTACCTCATCACATATCTCGGTCCTCCTCATTGTTTCATGTTCTGGGTCCCAGTATAGGTATTGGTGGCCACTCTGAGTTACGTCTTTAAATCTGAAAACAAAGGTCGCGAGGCTAATTACATTAATGTGTAAGAGACGATTTTGGAGGGGGACAATTTGCAGCTGCACTGAGGAAGGACTATGAAAAGTGGAGCCGCTGGAGGCAGCCGGCAGCCCTAGGTGGTGTGCTGTCAACAGCGGGACTGCCTTCGAAATGGAATTAGCGTCATCGAAAGCGCCACCGCTGGCGAGAAGCCCCGACTTGAGGAAGCGTGTCAAAAATAAAGACTGGCAGGAGCGGCAGGCTCCCTCGCACACGAGCAAGGCCGCGGCTGACAGCGGATTTTCTAGACTCCCTCGGGCAGCGTGTTCCGTGCCTCCCGTTGTGTTGCATATTTCAATTGCAGACTCGATTTATCGATTGAGTCTGAGAAATTAGAAAACTAGTATGGTAGGCTTAAGTAATAATGCAGAGAGCCTTGTGGCATATTAAAAACTAGCCTATTACTTTCTGGTAGAAGCTTTGGGAGCGACTTCCGCGCGCGCGCCCGCACGCACACACGGAGGGAGGGAGGGAGGTCAGAGGGAATTGGAATGCAGAAATATGACGGTGTTAATTACGTTAACGGTTGCCATTTAGAAAATGGGCTAATCCTGAATGCGAGGACCCGGAGGCAGAGTATCTTGGGAACTGTAGTTCTAACGAGCCTCGTGGAGGAAAACCGCGTGAGGATCACGTGACTCCTCCCAGGTCCCCGATTCGGGTATCTCGTTCTCTTTATCGAAGGAAGCTAATCCAATCAGTTAGAGAAACTTCAGTAAAAATAAAGTTTGTTGTCGACATTAAGTGATATTTTAAAATGCAGCTTATATTTCTCTCATGTAATTGAATTAGTAGCTATGGTTTTTCTTCAATATCACAAAGAAATCGCTTGGAAGGTTTAAACATGATTACAGGAAGACTTTTTTAGAGCGCTGTCCTATGCATGGTCTAATGAATGGAACTCAGAAATAAGTTCCATTCAATTCAAGGAAACTTACCAGAAGCTGCACATTTATGTTGAATACCCCAAGAGGCTTACTTCTGAATTGACGTGCATCCTATTGCATTGCTATCTGGCGGACCACTGAGTATTGTCAATACAATATAGAATGTGGAAGAGGATAGATTTACATAAAATGTGCCTTCCAATCATGTTTGCCTCACATTTGATTTACAAACATGAGAAAGGTAATTTTTATTTTTTACACCTCTAAATACTTTGGCTAGCCAATGTAATTTAATATAGAATCAATGGGTTGGATCCAGATTTACCAGAGAAGTAAAGGACAGGATCGCAGCCCATTGAAATACATTAAGTTTTAAGTTAATTGAAACAAATTTGTTCCATTGATTTCAGTAGGTCCACAACACTTAAGATGCTTGCTGTAGTGGTTAAAAGTCTGGGACTGAGCACTCTGGGACAATCAGGATTCTAGTCCATGCTTAGCCAAGGTGACTTTGGGCCAGTCACAGACTCTCAGCCCAACCTACCTCACAGGGTTGTCATTGTGAGGATAAGCTTGAGAGGAGAATGATGCAAGCCACTTTGAGTTTAAAAGGTGGGATATAAATCAAATAATGCTGATCCAAGCCATTATGTTAAGATTCAAGTGTACCAGTGAGTGTCACTTGACAACATATAATGACCTATTTATGCATTGCTATTTTTATGATAGCTCATTGTTCTTATGGAATTGGTTGTTTTTATTAGTTTTATTGTTTTAACATGGATGTAATTTAAATGCTGTGAGCTGCCCAGAGACTCCACTTGGAGAAGGGGCAGCATACAAATGTCAAAATCAATAAAAAGAAATGACCACTGGCCCTGTACCGAGCAGCTAAATGGGCAAAAATGCAGTCTTTCTATCAACATTTGAGAGGGAGAGAGAGAATGCATCCAGATCACCTACTGAACTGATCAGCTGAAATTTGAGCATATATACAAGACAGCATTTATTTGTCTCCATCTCAGGATCCCTGTCCACAGAGCCTGGGTGGGGAGCATCTCATTAGTAAGTTATTGTTCATTCTGTTAATTTAAATCCATAGGTTCTTTCCCCCGTGAGACTATGTTTTCAAAAGCATCAGCTGGTCTACTATAGGTTCAATGGACCAGTTCTACCTTTTGGTTTTGAATGACTAATATGCTCATCTACCATCTCCATCTCCTGGTGGCTTATAGGAAGTCTGAAATAAGTGTTTGTTTACCGGTGGGTAGAAATTCCGTTATACCATTCCTTCTGGTTGTGCACTGAAAATGTATGTTGGTTTCCTAAGTAAGCTCCATTCATTTCAATGAGTTACTTCTTAAAGCTTACAATCCTATACCCATTAATTTCGGAGTAACTAAATGAGAAATTACTTATGGTTGATATGTGTAGGACTGTACTGTATGTTTATAAGTGCAGCCTTAATCTCTTTTTCCTTTTTGTAAGCACCTTTTTCTTTTTTGGGCATTTCATTAAATAAATATACAGTATTTTTAAATTCAGTATTTTATTGTTGCTGTGTATTATTTATACAACATACCATAACTATATATGGTGCCAGAGTCATACGGGCAGAACAGACAGGTTTCTTTCCCTGAGGATATTTCAGTCTAAAGTAGAGGGAAAAACAAGACTAGAAAGGAAGAAAACTCAACAAGCAGGAAGTGTCTTAGGAAATGCCATAAAACTTGCTTCATCCAAAAGAATTCTCAGTCGGTATTCTCCTGAGAGAAAATCTAGAAGAAGATGCACATGTATTCCAAGAGCCTCCCAAGTTCTCCCAGGTCTGGTTGGCATTGCAACTGCAAGCACATAGAAATAGTCCTAGAGGAATCTCATGGTTCAAAAGATACAAGTGCTACAGAGCTGAAAACATCTAAGTACTTTATGTTAAAGTACTTAGGTATGTCAGGTAAAGTACTTTTACTAGCATATGACAAATTCCACAAAATGTCTTCATTTAATCTACCCCACTGGGCCTCCAGCATGAATTAATTACAGATTTTACCAATAGTGGGTTTGCATATTCAAATATCTAGATCTAGGCCATCTAACCACTGAAACACAACATTGTTTATGTGGAAAAAGTGAGATGGTGGGCTGGTATATGCCCTCAGTTTACAGCTGGTCACAATATGGTGTACAGTTTCATGTGGAACAAAACAGCTAAAATAGACAAGGCAAGCTAAAATAGACAAGGTTGCCAAGGAAATTCTATACAGTTCCAGCCTGTACAATCAGCCACCCAAATCTATTTATCTTCCTATCTTTCTACGCTCCATGAGAATTTAACAAAAATTAAATCATTAACCTATACCACAACAGATCCTCCAATCAGTTCAAATCTTCTACTGCTTCTTTTCCTTTTCTAAACTCCTCCATCATGCTAAGCACAGTTATATTCCATTTATCCTCTGACAATCTTCTGTCTGCACAACTAGTCAATTTGGCTATCACAACATACTCTGCCAATCTTTTTCGACATTCTTCAATTCTTGGGGTCTCCAACGATTATCCAGAAGCAAGTGCAATTCTTGCCGCAATTATTATATACCCAAATAACTCTAACATATTCTTCAAAAGGCTCTGAGACTATATTCAAAAAGCATATTTTATTTCTTCACTAATATTCAGTCTAAGGAGCTTAAACAATTATCTCTTTTCAGATTTATCATCCATTTTCCAGCATCCAATCCAGATTTCCTTCTCACATTAATTCTTCTCTTCTCCTCCACACATCCACCTTTTATATTTCTTCATAACTGTAAATAAACTCAAAATATAAGATTACAGCTTAAAGCAGAAGAATTAAGGGAGGTGGAGATCAAGAAAAAAAAGAAAAAGAGAAGAAGAGAGGAAAAAAGGATAAGAAACAGAGGCAGATAAAGCCAATTAGCCTTCTATCAATGTTAGAATTATTAATCCCATTCTATCTCTATTAAAATATTAGTTAAGATTAATTTGTTAAGAAAAGGCAATTTCAGACTTTCACAGCAGGTGGCTTTAACTTCCAATCTTCTCAAAGTCTAACAGGTGGCGCTAATGATCTTCTCATACTGTGTCATGCTTATTCTTTTTGTTCTTTGTACCCCACTGCCCACAGTCCAAGAAGGGGAGGAGGACAAGGACCAGAAAAATAACATCCTTGCCCAGTCCCATCAGGGAGATATAATTGTTCCTCGCAGCAAATCATATACAGATCAGGTCCAAAACAACAACAGAAAAA